TGAAGGACCCATCCTCATGCTAATGATGGAAGGCCTTTAGAGAGTTCATCATATGAATCTCCCTATCACATGCACTCATATTAGCTGGAGGGAACAGTTAATTACGCCCTAGTTTGATTTAGGTCAAACCAAAGTGGCTCCCACTGACTTTCAGAAAGCCAGATTTCGGTGGGCCTAAATCGTCTAGGGTTCTACACTAACCTCTCGATGAGGTGTGGGGCCCACCACTGAGGGAGGTCATCCAATGACCAAAAAGGACACCATGGCAATGATGTGCCTTCAGCCATGGTGTGCGCAAGAGCCACTGTCGATTGAGCATGGACCAAGTACTTATGGCCCATGTACGTAGCATATCACACATCCATACATCACATGCAAGGATAAATTGATCCAATCAATTAATTATTTGTAAAGCCCATTTGAAGCCCATTTTAAATCCGTAATATTAACCATTAATATTATCTAGGTATATGGGCCGAATTAGGATTGATGGGTTCGGCCCATATAGCTTTATCCGTAGAGTGGGCTTTTAGCAGTTTTAACTATTTAAAACTGGGCCTTTACAGGTTGGGCCGAATTAACCATTTAATTAAATATCAATTCTTAGGCCCATTAGTGGGAAAATTATGGCTGACTTTCAGCCTTGACCGAACCCTAGATTTGGTTTAAACAATTTGAACCAATCTTGGTTCGAATGGGTCTAGGGTTTGATCTTTAATTAAATCTTTAAATCAAGAAAATAATCTGAAATTAAATACTGATAAAAGAATATCAAGAATCAGTCAAATAGGGTTGTTCGCACAATCCATCCTACAAAACAGAGGTTAGATCACAGGTTCCCTGCGATCCAAAATAAATAGAAATCCTAATTTCTATTAATAATTACATCAGATCGAATACCTATACATTCAGTCTAAAAAATAAAAAAAATTATTTTACAGACCAAATGTAATAAAATAATCCATAATCTGCAAAATCGTAGGTTCCCTGCGCAAATCAAGACTTCGATTTCCTCTTGTACGAACAACCCATAAATCAAGAAAATCATAAAGAACAATTCTAAACAATAATCAAATTTATATAAAAATTAATTTTAGATTAATAGCCCATAATTTTGGGAACAAATTTCCCAAAACCCATATCTGCGCAAATTGGGTAGAACGCCTTCTGCCCATTTGCACAGGTTCGGATCTGAAACAAATTGGTTCAAGATTTGAACTTGGATCTGATACCACTAAAGGGATGAGAGATCCATCGTATGGACGCCCAAAACTTGCGGAATAAAGGGGCGAATTTCAAAAATTTTTCTCTCCCTTCAATTGGGAATCGCATTCCTTATTTAGAAAATCATATTTTCAAGGATCAATCTTGAACCATAAACTGAACCAGATCTGAACCAAAAGGAGTAGGAGAGGATTA